CTCTCCCCATTGCCTAGTCAAGCTCTCTCTCTCTCTCTCTCTCTCTCTCTCTCTCTCTTTCTGGCTCACTCGCTCTCTCAGTTCTCTGCCGTTATTCCCCTTTTCTTTTCGCGGCCTTCTTCGCGACCGCTTACCAGTTACCACTCGGAACGTGTTAATGGCTTCGGCCGGCCACTTGGGTTACCAAGCGCGAATCTCGTGTCACTTCTCCGGGTTTTTGACCGGGTTCTCGCGCCGATCGATCGACGAGTTGGTCGACGACCAAGAGAAACGTACGCGAAAGTTTCCAAATGGACTATTACCCTCGTAACTTCGTCGTCAATAATTGTGCCAGTTTGTCGTTAATCGTAACGTAATTAAAAATAAAAGATCTCTAAGTTACCGAATGTAATAAAGCCGCGCGTTGAATTAATTTTAGACCTTACTTCGATAAAACTTCAGTCTGAGTTTCACCAGTCGGAAGAATACGATGGGGTAAATATAGAATTGCAAAATTTTAGCTAAAGGAGTTCGCGATGTTCTATAGGGATACGTTTGACACTGTGAATTGACGCACAGAATGACCTGAAAAAGAGTACGTTTCCGGAGTTCCCGTAGAAAATTACCACTTTTCAAAATTACTAAAGCTGCTTCAATGAAGCGCAGAATACGATGCATTTGACCTCATTGCGCGTCCCGCAGTTACCCAATTTTCAAAACACCTTGAACAATTTCGAGAAATGGTTCCAAGACGAGCCTTCTCTGTGTCTCGCGCGATCGGCGTGTGCCCATTTACTCGTCTCGTTCAATAACCGCGGCGAAGAAACCACGTGACGAGCCCGCGCCTCGCGCAACGAGAGATTGAATCGGTGAATGATTTATCCGCGAAGAATTCAAAGAATCGACAACGAAGAGATTCCATCGCTACGATGGACTCTCGCATTCCGCATAATTGCCGTATATCGTCGTCGATCCATAAATAGCGACATGACGGAGCCCTGACATGTTCTCCCGCCCCCGCCACTCGCTTTATTGCTCTTCGATCGTGGCCGATCGATCGCCCGCGTATCGTTATGGATAAATCGCGGCGCCTCGCGAGGACTACGTAATCACCCGACGATTGATGGCGCGCCACCGTTACCTCTCACGTAACCAGCGCCGATAAAACGCACGGCTTCGACGCCGCGATAGCGCGCCGCGCGTTTTATCAGCTCGAGATGTGAGACGTGCACGCGTTCGTCGATACAATTCGTCCGTCGGGAATACGGATCGTCGTTCACCCACAGCTGGTTCCGGATCAAGCGAGCGAACGAGCGTGAACAAATGCGAACGAACAACTTGCTCGAATAAGGGCGAGCAATGCCACCCTTGAAGGGGAGGAGGGTTGCTTATTCGCATTTGTTAGCGCATTCACTATTAGATATCAAAGAAGCAATGATATTTTAATACTTCGAGTAACGTTTTTTTTTTTTATTATTTTTAATCTTCATGAGTATCAAAATGCGAACCGTTTCTGTAGTTAGTTTCAAAGTAAATAATATTCATACTGATGCACTTAATAAATAATAATAAACTAATGGCGAATTCGATTGGATTGCACCAGTGCAGTGTGATTGCACCAGTTCATCTTTTTTCCTTTTCCCTTCTCCTGGAAAGAAAAGGAAGAAAGATGAACTCAGGTGCACTCAGTGCGCACTAGTGCATCCAATCGAATTCGCCATAAATTTTTGAGTCAAATGTAATAGATTTTCTCGAGTTAAATTATTTAACTCCATTGTTTTAGTTAAATTAACGACACAGTAGGAGCGCAGTGGCGACTTTATTGATTAAAAATAATTCAAATTAGATATAATGTGCGTGAATTTAACAGTGTTCGCTTAATCCGGTTTTCCTTGTATCGCGATCGTCGATCTCGAACGCGTACGCAATTGTCGCATGATCTAATCGGAAGATGATCTAATCGGGGATTAGTCGAATAATGCAGGATCGCTTGGTAATAAATATCCTCGATTACTCAGCGCACCTTATCGCGCTGCGGTCTGAAGTTGCCTGTTATTTCCGTCAGAGTTGCCAGATGAGGCGACATGTCGTCTTTTAAGCGACTTACTCTCTAAAATTTTTTAGAGTAAAATATCATTATAAAAGAGTTCAAATATACTGTCACTATTGAAAAAGAGTGGCAAATTTTCACTTTTTTTTTTAAGAGAAATTTATTTTAAAGAAAAGAAACTTCACTCCTCTTTTTTGAAATAAATTTCACTACAAAAGTATGAAAACTCATTTCAAAAGGGAGTAAAAATCTGCTATTCTTATTAAAAAGTACAAATTTTTTACTCTTTTTAAAATGGCAATATTTTAACTCTTTTGGAATAAGATTTCACTCCAAGAAATTTAGACAGTGCAAGTTTTGCAAGGTCTGTTCTTTTTAGCTACTCTTGCACGGTTCATTTTTTTTTCTTTCCATGTTGGAGAGAAAAAGAGAAAAAATTAACTGTAAAAGAAGTTTGGCTAAGAAAACAAGCATATTTATTACAAGTTTTAGAAAACAATGGGCGACATGTCGCCTACATCTTGCAATCTTGATTTCCGTCAATCAGTACCTGACGACACGTCATCGCTGTTACCGAAATTTCCGTGATACGATAACGATTTTTGTATAAGGTCCTTTTTATATGAAATTTATACTCTTCCACGTCCATTTCACGTCAGAACAATCTGAATTTTTGTTCTTCTTGAAATGTCGTCTCTCGCGTAGGCGCGATTCCCATTTTTGTCTCTCACAAAGAAAATATCGTGTATTAGTACTAAATGTATAAAAATTATACATATTTTTATAATACTTGCAAAACCAGAGAATATATATTTGTACCAATTACATATCAAATTATAATTCGTGTTATAAGACATTTTGTTTTAAATTTTACTATCAACAATTTACTATGTATTTATATAATAACTAAACTATAATATTAATTTTTATTACATCTCTCTCTAAATTATATTATAGCAAATTAATTTTCACTATGAACATAATAAAACAATGACGTAATTTACTGCAGGCACTCGTAGGTTAGTAAAATTTCTTTCTCATCCTACAATAGCTTTCAATTATAATTAAAATATAAGAATGATTAAAATTAAAGAATTGTTATATTAAGATATACCCAAATTATAGAAGTTATTTTTTGAAGAAAAATATAATTTATGTCAGTATAATATATCAGTATATTCTGTAATAACAAAAATTTCATTGTAATTTTTATTGTATCTTCATCATATGTGTGTGTGTGTGTGTGTGTGTGTGTGTGTGTGTACGCACGCATGATTTTCAAGGTTCAATCTGGCAGCAGCAGAATGCAAAGATCGAAGTTCATACTTCATGAATCTCTCAAGCTATCGCGATGAGTTTTCTCCTTCCTACCTTTCACACGATCTGATGATTTCGCGACGTTGTTTATTCGTTCACACGTTATAATCGCTCGATAACGGAAGGTAAACAATCGACGTAGTCCTTGGGTAAATAAATACTATCAGTCTCTTCGTTCGAAAATTTTAACGTCAGAATCACAACGTTTGGTCTTATGTTATTTACGTTCGATAATTGCGATCAAATCGCTTATCAATTTGGTGCTTCAGTAAGTGATGCCCAAATAAACACATGGAAAGCACGGCATTGCTGAAGTATCTAAAAATTTAACTAGATATATAAGAGATCTAAAAATATTTTTGTTAGATTCTATCAAAATAATTATGTAGGACGTTCAAGTTGGTTGCTAGAATATCAAAATTTTTTATAATATTGCTCATCATGCTTGAACGATCTACGTAATTATTTTGATTGGTTCAACAAAATTATTTTCAAATCTGTATCTAAATAAATTTTTAAATACTTCAGCAAAATCGTTCCTTCTGTGCAACAAAATACACATAAAAATAATATGAGGAAGTTTCGGTAGAAGATTACAACTAGATTGATGAAATTTAATCCGGAAGATTCGATTCCAAATCCATAAATAGTTTCAGAACGATATTTGAGAAATGAGAAAAATGTTGCACATAATTGAGAAAGATAACGTTCAATCGTATAATAAATATATGGTAGATAAATGTATAAGTAGCGTGTAAATATGATCAAATAAAATTATTTACATTCCAAATTATTCTTCTTGGTATACCGTTATCTTAATAAAAATTATAAAATACAATATCAAATAAAACACAAAATTTAAGTCCAAGAAAATACGAATTGTAAGTAAAAAATTTCTAGGCATCTATTTGTCTTCAATAAATGTATAAATATAGATATGTATATTCCCGTTTGCCAGCTTCTCGTTATCAAAGATGCTGCAAATGTCGGAAATTGAAAGTTTCCACAGTTTGCCTTTCCTTCGTCGATAATCGGTAAACGACGTTTCAATAGAAATATTTTCTTATAATCAAAATATAAGGAGACGTCCATCACATCTCACACAAAATGTGAGAATATTTGAATAAACGATGCACTGGCTTTATTTTTTGGATGTCTCGGCGACCTGACTGATACAAAAACTCGTAACGTGTTTCTTCGATAATAAATAATCGTTTCAAATTCCGAAAATCTTTGAACAGTTTACACGACGATGAGAGATAAAATTAATTGGTACAGTCAAATAAGAGACATCGTCGTGAACTCGGCGACCAACTTTATTAAAAATAAAAATTTTGCATTTCGTTTGTACCTGTTTGTACTCTTATCGAGCTATCGGTGCTATGGAATCTCGTATCTTGGCGTCACGATTATAGCAAAATTTTGGTGATATGATAATTATTGATAATTATTATTATACATATATATAAATTTAAATATATATATGTACAAAAGAATTATACATACACATACAATTTATGTGTGGTGTAAGACATTTAATCACGTTTCATAAAACATAATTATTGGCAAGAAAATGCGAATTTCGGCTTTTTTTTTTTCATTTTTACCTGAAGCTTTTCGCAGGTAAGTCGTTCTCACAAGTAAGAGTTCTTACCTCATTGATGTGCTTGTAGGTCTTGATGAGATCGACGCTGAGTTTCCTGAGGGGCGCCGTCGCTGGATCGCGAAACCTGTGGGGTATCCTGGCCTGCATGGCGTGAATGTCCGAGGGGGTCTCCTGCGGAACCCCGCCGGCAGCCCCGCCACCCGCGGCACCGGCTCCACCGCATACCGCGGAGGGCATGGGCTCCTCGGCCACCA